GCGACAGCCTCTAGAAGCTTTGATGTAAGTGCCACTTCAAAGATTGTCTTCTTTGCTAATGTTGCTTCTCTATGAGGGCCAGGAAGCTGCAAGTGTTGGGTTGTAGACCGTGGCACACCATGGTGTGCAGCAGCTAGCATGAATCACTAGTGTGGTTTAGGGAGTTTGTGTTGGGCCATGGCTATGCTCCGGTGACAATGTCAGCTTTGGGCAAGGTGGCAAACAATGCATTGATGTGCTCCACACTCCCTACTTGCACATACCCCACCAGCAATGCATTCCATGACACGAGTGAATCAATTGGAAAGATCAGGCTATTGAGTTGGTGTTGCTCTAGTAATGCAGATTTCTAAGATGGAAATTGAGCTTCTTATTTATTTCTATTTTAGTAAATATTTTATAATTATTTAATACTAAAAAGTAGTGTTTGTTTGTAATTCAAATATGTATAGTATATGACCGAGATGAGAATACATTATATATAATATACTTTTATAGTTTATCAAAAGACTACTTTAAGGGGGCCAATGGGTTTCTTATGGGTCATATAGTTGTTGTTATAGTTAAAACTTAGAGCATACAAAAACTAAGAATTTTAATTTTTATAACTAAAAGTATAAGTTCTAATTATAAAATAATTTATAAAAATAAAATATGACCCATAATTAATAGCAAATAAATGTTTAACAAAATTAAAGACATTTGACACTCATAGCATACGTTAATGATTTATTTATTTATAAGTAAGTTGATACACCACATTATAATCGTAATTTGTAATGAACTTATCAAAGATATATACCAATCACCTCAAATGAAACCAAATAAAAACACACTAATTTTTTTAAAGCGCTATGTTAAATATCTTAATATAAAAATTATAAAACATAATGTAATTTTTATGTATTGTTTTGATAATATAACATTTTAGAATATGAAAACCCCATAAATATCTCTTTTCCTTTACCCACATCTTTAATAAGTTCTTTAATAGTTGGTATAATTGTGTTTTGTCTAAACTCAATTGTAAAAACCCCTTCATAATACTTATCAATACAAAAATAATAATTTATAATTATAATTAATACAAATAATAAATAAAATAATCTTAAAATGCTTTAGTTTCTATTATGGCAACATGGTTGAACAGGACTGGCATTTGGAATTTTATTCCTTCAATCCCTTGCTATGACAGGTGGCTATATAGAATAAAGAAAACTGGTCAATGTAAGAAATACATCTTATTCTTGCTTGTTAGCACAAAACGTAACAAGGTTCTTATTTTTGGAATGATGCTCAGCGACAGCTTCCTTGTAAAGATAATAATCCCATTATAAGACCACAACCCATCAACAAAATTCAATAGCTCTAACATGTGACCCTGCTACTCTCTTCCTCCTTTTTCTTGTCTTTCTTCTCATACTCCCCATCTTTGTCTTTGGTTTCTTCCTCTGGTGCTAGTTTCCCCCTCTTAAGTGGCTTCCTCAAGTCAGAATTGCTCTTCACCTCTGTCAGCTCCATATCATAGACATCAAGTTTGCTATAGCAGCTATGAGTGATGACTTCCCAGCCCATATTCAAGTTCCTTGAGATCAAACCAAGCTCATGGGGTTTCTTCACAACAAACAGTAGCGATTTAGAACAATAATTCATTCCCTGAGGTAAATTATCATCCTCCAAAAGCTTTGGTGACTGGAACTCATAGAGCTTTGGGATTCTTTCTGGCAAGCTTCCTTGCTGTTTCTTGATCTTTTGATTCAAGGTAGTAGTGGGGAACAAGAAAGTGCCAGATCTTTCAGATCAATCCCAGCCATGAAAGAATCTAGGTCCTAAATAACCTTGTTCTTGAACCTGGGATCCAGCTTGAGAAAGTGAAGGCATGCTTGAAAGCCATTGACTTCTATATATTGTTCCTGTAAACCCACTCATCTTGTTGTACACTTTAATATAAACTTAAAAAGATAATAAATATTTAGAAAAAGATTTATTTACATCACTGTATCAATTATTTTTAAATATTAAATAATATTACAATAAATATTATATCTTATATATAGAAGTTCTATATGCTTAAATTAATAAAATTTTGATATTCACATCCAATATTTTAATTTATTCCAATAAGTATTTAAAATATTAATGAGTTTTGAAATATGCTAATAGTTATAGTATTAAATAAATTATAAGTTACTATTTACCCAGTACTAATTCAATATTGTATTATTTTTTAGTTTAGATCTCATATTACCCATGTATCTTTCCAATATAAATTGTAATACCATATAACATTGTAATTTTTTTCATTAATTACAAGATTATCATCCTTTCACATACGAATGAAGACATTCAGTAACCTTCCTTGATATTTCAGTTTTCCCATATCAAAACCTTTCCAGAATAAAGAACTAAAGTACAGTCTAATTGCATATATAAAGTATATATTTGATTTGGTATCTCATTTCTTAAGTCAAGAAAAATATAAAAAATTTGGTCCACTTTTTATGTAGGTTTTATAAATTAAAAAATATTTCCTTTTATCTAACAAATATATAAAAAAAATTGTTGGTTTAATACATATTCAATATCATTATCTATTATATATGATATAGAGTATCTACCTTCTATATATTCTACTGATCCATATGTTACTAGATCATTTTCAACATGGAGTTCAAGCATTAATTAAGCTTCTCTTTGGAGTGACTTACCTGTATTTGATAAAATAAGAAAGTAATTGTATTACAATATGTTATAAAATATTTTTGTGAATATTAAGAAAAATAGTATGATATTCTAGAATATAAAAACCCCATAAATTCCTCTTTACTTTTATCTATAATAAGTTAATTAATAATTGGTATATTTGTGTTTTGTCTAAACTCAATTTTAATGACCGGGCTATATCAAATGGATTAAATAAAATTATACAAAGAGATGTGATAATTTTAATTTTAACAGTAAGCACTCTTAATATCCAAAATCTACAAAATACCTTTATGTTACTTTAACTATTACTAATGTTATGGTAATCTAACTTTTAATCTTCAATCCAATTAAGGGAGCTAGTCAATCACATGGCTCATTTGTCAACTTAATTCTGGAATGGAGGTAGATAAGGAGCTCAAGTTCCAATCATTCACACTAGCAAGGAGAAACAAAATTCAAAGCATTTTTTGATTTGATTAGATTCTGGTCAAGGCACCAAAATATAAGCAAGACTGCATTTGTACCTTCTTACTGAGACTGTCAGTCAATGTGACACTTGAGAAGAAAAGTACATACATAGCCCAAGAAAAACAAAACCTTTGTGGAAAAACTTCTACCCGTCATCGACCTGTTGTGAATGATGTTAAACTTGCATAGCAGACAATTCTCAACCACTTGTCTATGCAAGAACAGTGGAAGTGGTGATTGCATGGTGGTCCATGGAAAATAATAAAAGTTTTTTCTGATATGAAGCCTTACCGCATCTTCCGAAGAGAACTCGCTCACGACGTCTTGATGATGATCAGCACGGTCTTTTTCGGCGATGGAGCCAGCTGCGTCATCATCGCTCCATTATATATACTCATCGTTCTGGATCCTCCAGGCCAGAGGCTTGCACGAAACCATTTGCTCAAACGTTTTCTTCTTCACACAGTTTCAGCAGAAAGGCTTCCACTGTCGTGCCTAGTCCAAACGCTACAAGAGCTCCACACTGGCATGGATCTCCGCCACCTTTTGCCGCTCGTCTTCAAGCACAAAGAGACACGCCGTGCACGACATGTTTCCACACGTGTCAAGAACGTGTCAAGTTTGAGCTCCAAAGCTTGATCCGAACTCGAGACAGGCATCCAACAAAGTTGTGAAAGCTAAACAATGGACATATCAATTATAACAATTAGGGAACCATAATAGACAGCGATATTCGTGGATATGGCTCGAGGTACGAGAGATCTACGCACCTTCGCAGCAAAGAACTCCTCACCGACTGGAAGCTGTGAGCCAGGCGATTGCGGTGGTGCCTCACACCAATCTCTCGCGGATCGTCCAGCTCGCGACATATCAGCATTCCCACCTCACCAGCTCGGTCCGCCATCTCCGCCAAGAGCAGCAGTTCATTGTCGAGGTTGATCGCCCAAGAGCAGTAGCTGGATCATCGTGTCGCGCAGCCGATCGCCCAAGAGCTCCTGAAAGACGAGATCTTTCCACTGGGAGAGGAGTCCATTGCCATCGCCATCGCTGGAAGGATCGAGCTTGAGGTAGAGCCTGGAGCACGGCACAGCGATGGTAGCGCACGCGAGGGAGTGGTAGTGTGGCGGCGGCGACGGTGGCCGCGATTGATCGAGTGGCACCGCCGAGGGAGAAAACGATCGATCGAGGAGTGCCAGGGATTAGGAGATCTAGGAGCCGCGGATGCGGCGGAAGAGGAGGAAGGCCTTCGAGAGATGGAATGTGAGATGCGTCTTGATCTCCGCCACCGCGGATGCCAGCGCCATGGTGATGGGCTTGAAGAGTGCACGATCGTCCAGGCGGAGGAGGGAGTAGAGCTCGCGCTGGAAACCTGGAAGTGATCGAAGAGGGATTGTGACGAGCTGCTCGGCTTCCTCGTCCCGGGGGTTCTCCTCGGCGATTGTGATGCTGTAGCCCAGCTCCATGGGCTGCCAGATGTCCTCTTCCGCTCCTACAATGATGCCAGGAATCTTCATTTCCAAGGGTCAACTAAACAGTTAAAAAGCAACGAACATTCTAACTAATAAGCTATACTTTAATATTTTAATATAAATTAAAATAAATTGCTGCGTGTTGCATTGCAGCAATGTTTAGTTCGCTTTTGTATTTAAATATTTTCTATTATTATATATAATTTATTGTGATTTGTCCAATAGCTATACCTGCTTTTGTATATATTATATCTTTGATCCATATATGATCTATTATTTTTTATAGTGTGTGTTGTCTGCTATTATTTGTTTATAACCTTCTTTCTCCATTATTATTTTTAATGGGTTTACTTCTTCACTGTGATAGTCTATCAAAGGGGACGACTGAGAAATGGCGGCTGCATCGGCGCCCCATTCGAATTCCCGACTGGGCATTGTCGAGGACATGGCGAAGCTGGGCGTCTCATTAGGCTTGAAAGCTAGGCTTTGCATCCGGCAGTGCACCCTCCTGAGCAAGGCGATGGTGGAGGTGAGTGATCTGGTGAGGGAATGTGTGCTCTTCATCACTGCAGCCATTGAGGAGGAGCTGCTTGCCGCGATGAGAAACGGGGTGGAGCTCATCCGATCTTGCAAGACAAAAGGGACCTGGTGGAGAGGGCGGATCTCTGTGGGTTGGGTCATCACAGCTCTGCTTCATGAGGAGAGACGGTCAGAGTTTGTGGAGGCTTACGACGCACTGCTGGAAGCTGCTCGAATCGCAATCTCCCCCTCTGTGGCAAAGCACGGTTACACCTCATCAAGTGCGAAGATCATCATCGGGCGACTGATGTCTGCTCAAGAATTGCTGAGCAACGAGGCGGACGCAGACAGAGATGAGCTCGTGAGATTGATACGTGACAGTTTGATTCTTCCCAGAGGACTGAAGCTCCTACGCAGCAGGCTAGTCGGTGCTTACCCTCAAAACCATCTGCTGGCTAGTGAAGACATCGAACGGGGTCAGGTGCTTGGCCAGGGTGCCTACGGCTGTGTTTACGAAGCCAAGTTTCTTGGAATCCCGTGTGCTGCTGTCAAGGATATCATTGTCGCCAGAAGCCCCGGATCGGTTCACGATCAGGATCATCTTCCATTCGAGATCCAGGCTCATCTCACTGTGAAGCATTCAAGCATCGTTAGCGTTCTGGGATATTACAGTACCACTCGCAGCAGCAGATCCTCAGGCAAGCATCAGCAGCAGCAGCAGATCTATTCGCTGCTGATGGAGAGGATGGATAGGAACTTGACCGAGCTCATAGAAGAAGAAACCAAAACGTTGAACTCGTCGTCCACATCAACGTCGTCGACGACGACCCCGCCATTTGCAATGCGAGAATCACTGTCCATCATGCTGCAAGTCGCCGCCGCTATGGAGCTCCTGCACTCCAAAGACATGATTCACAGAGATCTCAAGACGGACAACATACTCGTACGCCAGCACCGGGACATCGTCCGGGTGAAGGTTGCCGACCTAGGGCTGGCCTGCGTCCACCTTGGAGGCCTCCACACCGACAGGCGTGGTACCAAGAACTTCATGGCACCTGAAGTGTACGCGTCCGAGACGTACTCGAAGAAGGCGGACGTCTACAGCTTCGCCATGGTGTGCTATCACGTACTCACCGGAACGCTGCCGTTCGCGGACGTCCTACGCAAACCCATGCACGAGTTCTTCGCCATGGTTTCTAAAGAAAAGAGGCGGCCTGTGATTCCCGGGAACTGGCCGATCGACTTGGTGGAGCTTGTGACGTCCTGTTGGAGGCATGAGCCGGAAGAACGTCCGACGTTCGCCATGGTTACGGAGAGATTGAAGCTGATACGTGCGTCCGTGGCTACCAACATCAGCGTCGAGGAGGTAACGCTGTTCTTGAAGCAGGAGGAAGAAGTTTTTCCTTTTGTGGAGGAAAACGTTTTGCCAGCGAATACAACAGCTTCGTTGGCCCAGTCTGATCATCAATCGAGTTTCGTGGATGACATTATCACCCGGCTGATCGAGGTTCGCAATGGCCGCCCCGCATGCCAGGTGCAGTTAGCTGAGTCCGAGATCCGGAAGCTTTGCCTATGTGCGAAGGAGATTTTCCTGTCGCAGCCGAACTTGCTCGAGCTGGAAGGGCCAGTCACGATTTGCGGTGCGGTTTAAGGCTTTGATTTATCTTCTGATTTTGGAAATTTTGTTTTTCTTGTGTAGGTGATATTCATGGGCAGTATTGGGATTTACTCACAATCTTTCAGGATGGCGGGTTTCCTCCACTGACGAATTATCTCTTCCTCGGTAACTATGTTGATCTTGGCAAGCAGAGCATCGAGACGATCTGCTTACTCCTTGCTTACAAGATCAAGTATCCAGAACTGTTCTTCTTACTTCGGGGAAGCCATGAATGCGCATCCGTGAACAGAATCTTTGGCTTCTACGACGAGTGTAAGAGGAGATACAACGTTCGATTGTGGTTGACGTTTACAGACTGTTTCAGCACCTTACCATTCTGCGCCCTGATCGACGATAAAGTCCTCTGCATGCACGGGGGACTGTCGCCGGACCTGAAATCTCTGGATATGATCAGGGAAATCGCTCGACCGACTGATATTCCGGATGCTGGACTAGTTTGTGATCTTGTCTGGGCTGATCCTGATAAGGAAATCAGAGGATGGGGTATGAACAATGAGCATAGTTACAGATTTGGAGCTGATGTAGTTGCGGAGTTTTTACAAAAGCACGACTTGGATCTCATCTGCCGAGCTCATCAGGTACGTAGAAACACCAGCCGGATTCGAAGCTGCTGATTGAATCTCTATTTTTTTTTGTTCCTGACTTGATATTCTTCAGGTTGTGGAGGATGGATATGAGTTTTTTGCAAGTCGGGGGCTTGTGACATTGTTCTCGGCCCCAAAGTTTGCCGGCAATGCTGGGGCCGTGATGTGTGTGGATGAGCAACTCATATGCAGCTTTAAGATTTTTAAGCACGGAAAAACACGGGTATGAGTTATTGTTTCAGAGGTACGATTTTGTTTGGATAGATACTACAATGCTCAGAAACTAACATTCTTGCTGCTCAGCTTTTTTCATTTCGACTTCACAGGACGAACCCCTGCTGAACTTATTCAGATAGTGGGCAGAAAACACTTAGTTTTACAAACGCCTTACACCTCAGACTCCAAATGCACGCAAGCAGCAGCAGCTCATGAGGTTGAAACTCGGCGTCTGCTAGAAACCGTTCCACATCCTCAGCGAAGAGGCCACCAACAAGTACGTTCCGCTAGTCATCAGATTCGTGACGCGAGGCAGAAAAACGGCGACACAAGGCTTGCAAGCGGCACAGTACCAAAACCAAAGTCGGTTTCATACAGCGGGAAACGATTCCAGCTTGTGATCGTAAAGTCGGATTCAGCATCGCAGGGACACACCAACGGCAGTCCAATGCACAGGAAAAAGAAATCGATTCCCAAATTTTAGGGCGTTTTGGGTATTTTTCAGAATTTCATTTTTGTCGGGACGGTATATTCTGGTGTATTCTGGTATATTCTAATTATTCTAATTAAATTCTGGTATATTCTAATTATATACCAGTGTAGTAAAATCATTAGTAGCTTCCAAAGAGTTCCAAAACCCCCTCAAAGCCGAAGATATTCTGGGCTTGCCAAAGCAAGTCAACTAGAACTCCACAAAAAAATTACCAGATTCGAAAACTAAAAATGCCCAAAACAGACGCATGTAAAGCAGATCTAGAGTCCAGAAAACGAGAAACAGAAGGCTAGGAGATAGGGTGTAACCGCAGTTTTCCATGACTGTCATTTGCTAATGTGAGGGCAGATCCTACAAAATCCACAATAATGAGCTGCATACCAGAAAGTTGCATATGTCCAGAATAAAAAAAACACCAGTAGTTCCCAAAACAGCCCAAAACCCCCTCAAACCTGAAACCTTTCAGCCTTTCAGACACAAGTTTACCAAAACTCCATTGAAAAATCATGAAACCTAGGGGAAACCAATTTGTATTCATCTTCCCTCAGTACATCCTATCCAAAACTGAAACCACCTTTACTGACTGATCAAACACTGATTCATCAAGCTCCCAATTAATCTATGAGTACTCAGACACTGATTTATTAAAATTAATCTGTTGGATGCATGAGTACTCTCCCCAATTAATCTATTGGATGCATGAGAGTGCTCACCTTGATGTATTCAGATCATATACCCTGAATTTATATTATTAAAAAAAATTTCAAAGATAAGTATATAATGCCTACAATGCATTTCCACCATAGAAATATGCAATCCATCTCCAACACAAATTGAATTATTCCAAGTATATTTTGTTTTAGGGTTAAAGTTTTCTTATCTTCTGCCCACTGGAATAGATTCTTTGAAAATTGTTTTTGATGTCAAAGAAGGGAAATGTTGTGACATACAGCTTCCTGCAACTATGAAAGGGCTTCTACGGCTTTTTATTCACCTCACCCTCAGTTTCACTTGGGCATTCACACATTCTTGAACTACTGTTGGATGTAAGCCACAAATTTTCCTTTCCAATTTGCCAGCTTACCTCGTCTACCCGTCCAACACCGCCTTGGCTTTTGCTAAGTTCCCTTGCCAAGGTTCTCGCCTATGGTACTAGCTCCTACTTGGTCTCAGCTACTCACTGCACGAGCAACGGAGTGTTAGCCATCCATCCACAGATTCCCAAATCACTCCCAATCCCCCTCCCCGGGTTAGACTGGATTTAAGGTTCGGCTACACTCCCCGCAAGCACAAGCAGCCAAGCACACCAAGCTTCCAGGTTCCTAACATCCTTTGGTACCACAAGACTTGATCATGGGACCCTCTAAATCCCAAGTCTTGAGTGCAACACTTGCTTCCGGACGGCGGGGCGAAACACCGTGGCCTAGCGGCCCGGTATGGGTACCTCTCGCCCCCCACTTCCATCCCGAAGGAAGGCCCAAGCCCCTAGGAAGGGCGAGGACCAATGAGCCGCATGGTACTCAAGTGGGGCACCACTCCACATGAGCCGGGAGCACCACAATCGGTTTCCCTTTCGGGAGTTGGAGCTGCTCTTGAGCACTTCCTTGGATGGCCCCTCCGGCACCAACCAAGTCCATGCTCACTCCCACCCAAGGCCCCTCGGTCCCAGTCCCAACCTCAAGTCAGTTTGGGAGCCCCACTGGAGAGTCCCTTCTAAACTGGTTCCTGGACCTCACTATCCCTACTATACTTTTGGAACCCCCTGCAGCCCCCCCCCCCCCCCCCCTGGGAGACGCACGCTTTGGGCTTTCACCCCTTGACCCGTATTAGTATTTGGATTTAGTCTCTGGCTCGATCTTGGACCTGATTTCGGATCCGACTTCGGATTCAGTTTCGGACTCGATCTCGGACTCGATCTCGGACCCGATCTCGGACCCGACCTCGGACTCGACCTCGGACTCGGTCTCGGACCCGATTTCGGATCTTGGACTCCGTCTCGAACTCGGTCTCGAACTCGGACTCGAACTCGGTCCCCGAGTCAGTCTCGGACTTGATTCTGGACTCGATCTCGAACTCGGTCCTAGAGTCGGTCTTGGACTCGATCTTCGACTTGGTCCCATCCGATGAACTCTTTGTCATTTTGGTCATGCTTTTGGGGTTCCTTTAGCCTACGACACCTCGGCGAGTTGGTTCCTTACAACTCCACCACCCATAGAAGAAGTTCGATGCCCACATCGAACATCTCGTTTTATCCTACGACTTGTTGACCATGTCTCCTGGGGCATCCCCCCACTTAGCGGTGTGCCTAAGTTAGCTTCCCCGGCCAAGAGCCCATGACAACGGAATATAGGTGTCCCTATACTCCTCACCTCACCACGCCCTAGTATAGGGTTGGGACTTGAACCCAGCCTTGCTTTACTAGGGGGTTGGGACTCGAACCCAACCTCCGTAGAATACGTCTACGGATTCGACATCCCCGCAGGTAGTCGGGCGCCTTCCTCAAATTCCCTTTGAGGTGGACGAATGCCGCCTCGCATTCCGCTGTCCATACCATCTTCCCTTTTCCTGTTTGGTCCGTTAAGGGCAGAGCTACTCTCGAATAGTGTCTGATAAACTTTCAATAGTAGTTGCATAGCCCCAAGAACGCCCTCAACTCATGTACATTCGAAGGTCGCTCCCATTCCTGGATCGCTTGGACCTTCTCCGGGTCCACCTTGAGCCCGTCCTGGCCTACCACATGCCCGAGAAACTTTACCTCTTGTTGAGCAAAGTCACATTTGCTCTCCTTAGCATACAGTTTGTGTTCCCTTAGTTTCTCAAACACTTTCGCCAAGTGTTCGGCATGCTCCTCTAGCGTCTCGCTATAGATCAGGATATCGTCGATATAGACGACCACGAAGTGATCTAGATAGGGTACAAAGATGTAGTTCATCAATGCCGAAAACGTTGCCGGCGCATTGCACAGCCCAAAGGGCATCACCAGAAACTCAAAGCTCCCATACCTCGTTCGACAGGTTGTCTTCTCGACATCTTCCTCAGCTACCCTGATCTGGTAGTATCCTGACCTTAGGTCAATCCTCGAGAAGTATTTTGCCTTTCCCAACCTATCGAACAGGTCCTCGATCCTTGGCAAAGAGTACTTGTTCTTCTTGGTATACTTGTTGAGCAACCGGTAGTCTATGCACATAAGCTCTATTTCGTTAAAGTGGGAATTGTCATTATCCCACTTGTAAAATAAGGTTTCCAAACCTTTATATAGTATATAAATATAACAAAATTCAACTGCATTGAGGCACATGCCATTTTATTTTAAACAAGGAAATGTCTACTCAATCACTTCTCCTCCCCCTGCCACTGCTTCACCTCTCTCTTCTCCTTGTCATCGTCGTCCAATTTCTTTTCATCCTTTTAATATTGGCTCAGTTGCTCCGAGTCTAGGTGGAGCCCAAGTCCCCATTCAATCTTTACTTTCCCCTTATTAATAAAACAACTTCATAGACTTCCAATAACATGCTGTAACACTTCTAGTATAATGCAAATCCTCTCAAAGAATTGTCTTTTAATATTAATACAATGGCATGGAACCCCATGCCATAATAAGTTACATTTTTAAATAAATACATGCCATCTCAGACTGTTATTTTTTGCCTCCAACGCCTATACAATAATCTTGGAATTTCATCACTCTCCACACTATCAGGATTTAAACCCAATAGTAATGCCATCTCTTCTCTAATACGTCCACGCTCATGTTCAGTGGTCGAAGAACCCATCTGGTTGAGCAGATTATGGAGATGCGGATAGTGCTTGGCTAGACAATATACATGCCATAAATGATGACTGGTGTCTGTCCGATCAAATGGCTTCTGATATACCGTTCCATCTGCCATTTGGTTGATTTCTGCAGCCACCTCCTGGACTGGCCGGTTCTCTATCACCATCGCTTCAAGCCGTTTTGCAAAGTCCCCCAGAACATACGGTTTCTTCTCCCTAGTTTCCATACTGCAAGAGATGGGGTGCACTGCATATGTGTGCGTGTTCGCTGCAGTTTTAATCGGCGAGTCATCGATGATGAGGATTTCACTTGACCTAGCAGTCCGGTTCATCACTACAGCCTCTGGCTTGACGAAGATGGGCTTGCTACCCCTCACATGGACCATAGTCAAGCAATCCTCCTGCGTTAGGAGAAAGTCAAATGGTAATATTACTCGCGTCTGATCGTGCATCATCTGTAGCAACGTTAATGCATTGTGGCGCATCATGGATGTCCAAACTCCCAATTGCAAATTGAACCCGGCCCTCTGTTTTAAGTGTCGCATGGTCATTATTAGATCTCGCAGTTTCTCCCGTGTGATTAATGTGAATCTGTCTCTTTTGACCAACTTGCGACCGCAGGCTTTGGAGGGTGCAGTGACATTCGAGGACGAGCCACGCTCATGGGAGAAAAGGACACCGTTCAGATCAAAAACGATACAGTACTTTCGCCGTGACTCTGAAATGAAATGCGTCAGCATAAAAAATGGTACAAGTCAATTTTACCATCTACAATATTAGCGAATGGTGCTCCCGATGGTCATTCAGAGGGTTTTGGTCGAGGAAACGTGAAGGGCGGAAATACTCTCCTCTGCAATGTGGGGTCAATCGCATCCGATGGCATGTGGGCACATGCCATTTCAGCTGTAGACTCTGGTACAACTGGCTCAACAGTGGCATGGGGTGGTTCCGATGGCGTGTGATCACACGCCATTTCAGCTGGTGCCTCCGTTGGCAAAGTGGACATGACCGAACAGGCAGCAGGGGCGGTGTAGGGAGGTTCCAACGGCGCGTAGTCAGACGATTGGGCACACGTTGAGTCCGTTGGAAATGAGGATACGACCGGCTTGGCGGCTGGGGCAGCCTCATGCGGGTCCAATGGCGCCTGGTCACCGTCAGTTGGATACGTGGACAAGATTGACTCAGTGGTATGGGCAGCATCAAGTGGAGCGTGGTCAGCTTGCTTGGCGTTGATATGGATAGTAGCCTCCACCAGCTCTGAT